TTGTTTTAAGTTAGGATGTGCCAGAACAACTAGAAGCACTGGGAAGAGACTGTTTTCCATAACACAGAAAGGGAGGGTTTGTTCAGAGGGACCTGATACTGAGAGTGGCCACTGGGGGCAGCGAGCCCGCAGGGGAGAGCTATCTTGCAGCGTGTTCATTGGGGGCAGCCATAAGTACATTGGGAGCAGCACAGCTGACCCCAGGCGCTGCCCCTTTGAAATGCAGCAGCATTTCAAAGAGGCAGCACTGCCCGGAGTCAGCTGGGGACTCCAGCTGATCCCAGGATCCTACTATGCTGCCCCTGGTGGTGTTTCAAAGGGGCAGCATCACGGAAATGCCTGCGATTAATATGTTTAAAAAGTCAACACGTTAATTGCGCTCTGTGTTAATTGTAGGTGTTAACGCACATTAACAGCCCTAGAAAAGACCTATGCTGGATGCAACCTCCCCCGCACTGAGTCCTTCCTCATCCCCCAATCCTTACCCTCACAATCCCTCCTTTCCCAGAGTCCTGTACTAACCCCACACACACATCCCCAAGGTCCTACCTGATTCCTGAAGCCCCCACACCACCAGCTCCCTGCCCTGAAGGACCCAGCAGCACCAGGTAAATCTTAATAGACATATGTTTGAGACTACTGTATCCAATTTATAACTGTTATTTATACCTCTGAGCCAGGGAATGCAAGCCTTCTGGCTGGGGAGGATTACCAAAAAACTTTTTTTTTAAACTAGATTCAAGATGGAACAATTAATGCAGAGCCTGGGACAGGCTGATAAATCCAAAGAAATACAACCCTGCGTGGTGAATTGCATATACTGATACAGACCAAGTTCAAGAGACCCAGGAAACAGAAAGAGCTTGTAACACAAAGAGCCTGTATGAACTGACCTGGGGAAAAGGTTCATTTTGATTCATCAACCTGGCATGATTTTTTAACCAAGACAGAAAAAAACCAGCTGATGGGTTTGAAAGATAGGAATCTGCCATGGTTTCTATAGAACACATGAAAGATATCTAATATGCTTAAACACGTGTTTAGACCTTTTGTTGCTTAGGATATGTTTTCTCTGTAATACTTCTCTCCTAAAATAAATGTACTGTGCTCTGTGTAAGGCTGTTTGATCACTTGTGAACCAGTATCTTTACCCTTGAGAAAGCAAATCCTAAACTGCAGATGCTGGACTAGGTCAGGAACCACTGGGCTAATCAGTGAATTGCCAGCAGCCCATCTGAAGGGAGAGGGAGTAGGTTCCTGCCCAGAGAGAAGTGGCGATTAGAGGCCCCAGACCTAAGGAGGCATTCCCGATCATGGAAAGGGTCAGAGGTGCAGTTACACAGTAATTACAACACAATTATGCATAAGCCACATCCACACTCTTGTCTTTGGTACCCTATACTGCCTCTTCCATCTCATGCAGTCCTTGCAACCCACCAATGACACAGAAGCATTTCTCATAAAAGGTAGGGCCTCCCTGTACCTTAGGGGTTTTCAAAGATCCTCAGAACAATTTTTTTTTTTTTACATTTTAACAAAAATATATTTAAAAAGTCGAAGACTAATCTGCTGTGCCATGGACATAAAGTAGAGTGAATCAAAACTGGAGTCTAGTAATGCCTAAAAAGGTTTCTGTCAAGACCGAAAACTGAAAGGACAGTTTTGCTTTCTGCTTCTAATGACCTGCTCGCTATGCTTGCCAACCCCCCTCTCTGGGGGTAGATGTCTGGCCGGGGGAAGGAGCAGGCTGGGGGTGAGGGGTCTTGGTGGAAGGGATGGGTGAGGGAGCTGGGTGTGCGAGGTCTCTGAAGTGTGGTGAGGGGGTTGAGGATGCAGGGTCTCACGTTGGGGGGGGGCTGGGAGCAGGTGAAGGGTGTGGGAAGGGGGTGTGACTGGGGGGGCAGCCACATGGCTCCAGTCTTGTCCTCCTTGCCCTCCAGCGAGGGCTCCACTCATCCCAACCCTCCAAACCCCACCCAGAAAAGCCCCAACCATCCTCCAGGCCAGAGAAGCCCCACACCTGCTGCAGGCCTCACTATCAGGAGAAGACCCAAGCATTACTGCGTGCGCACGCACGCACGAACGCACACGGAGCCCTGGGCCAGCTGCAGCTGTGCTTCTGCTCCCTAGCCATAACCTGCTCTGGGGGAAAAGCATCTCCTCAAAGAAGAGGAGCATCTCCTCAAAGAAGTTGTCTAGGGGCAACCGAGTAGCAAATACCACTGGGTTGGGCCTGGGAATGGGAGGACAGGTTGCAGGCTCTGAAAAGAGCGAGGCTCTGGCAGGCAACCCTCAGCGCGTTCCAGATGGTGTGCCTCCCCTATCCGTTGGCCCTCAGAGCCATCCAGAATGTGTGGCTCAGGGCTCCAGCCACTGCTGCAGTAGCAGGAACCAGGAACTCTGGGACAACTACATAAGAACATAAGAATGGCCATACTGGGTCAGACCAAGGGGCCATCTAGCCCAGTATCCTGTCTGCCAACAGTGGCCAATGCCAGGTGCCCCAGAGAGAGGGAACACAACAGGTAATAATCACGTGATCGCTCTCCTGTCATCCATTTCCAGACAAACAGAGGCCAGGGACACCATTCCTACTCATCCTGGCTAATAGATTCATGGAGGTTAGGTCCATCAGTGGCTATCTAGCTCTTTTTTGAACCCTGCTAAAGTCCTAGTCTTCACAACATCAACTGTTGCCTTCTCCCTCTCTCCCACCAGCAGGCCTGGGTCTGGAAAGGGAGATGCACCTGCAGTTGGCCTGGGGCTCCTGGACAGTTTGAGTCCTCTGCTGTCCAGGGAGTCCTCTGCTGGATGGGGGATTGTGGCAAGAGACAGGAGGCTCCTGTCACTGTCCTTGGACTGGAATTGCTATGGGCACACCTGGGACACCTGGGACAAAGGCTGGGCAGGACTGGAGGACACACTGGGTCAAGGCTGAGCCGTACTGTGCATGGTCCATGCTTGGCCAGGCTGAGCCAGGGGCCAGACTGCATAAGCTGCTTGGACTCAGTCCCCACTGTGACAAGCCATGATGGCTCCGAGCGGGCAGGGGCTGTCCCTGGCACTCCCTCCCAGGACACGGCCTGGTTCCACTAGTGGGCACTGGCCGCTGTCGCCACCCCCAGGGCTAGGCCTCTTCTGTGGGGAAGAGCTGCAGCCAGGCTGCACATGCGTCGTCTGCAGAGCCAGGCAGCAGCAGCAATGGCTCCACAATGACGGCTAGCTCTAATGGTTGCTATTGACATTGCGGCGTGCAGTGGATTCTGCCGAGTGCCCAGCAGGGAAAGCTATTAGTCCTGCACAGGAGCACTCCTCCCCCACTGCCGGCTCAGGAGCCATGGCTCAGGAGCTATGGCCCAGGCCACCACCACTGCCTTATGCTGGGCTCACGGTCCCTCCCGCCCCACCACAGTACCGGGGAGGAGAGGGAGGGAGAAGCCAGGGCAGCTAAGGGCAAATGAAGGGTCTGAGGGATGCAGAGTGACATGATGATGTCACTATCGTCCCGCAGGGAAAGTTTTTATATATATAGTGAGAGATTAGTACCATACTGTTTGGACTCACAAAGCTGCAGCGACATAAACACATCAGAAGGTTTTTAATATATTCAAAATATGAAAAAAAAGCACACATACCTGTTCTAAAAGTTTAAAAATAACCAGCAACTACTATATTGGGATTTAACCTAAAAGTATCATATCCTTTTAAAATTACAGAATTTTTTTATAAATTACTTATCTATTACTAGACACATTCAGAACAAAAAATCCCGGGATATTAGTATTAAAATTCTGAATCAGACTTGCAACTATTAAGTCAGCAATGTGGTTGATTTTTATGAATCAAAATTCTGAGTGTAGTCTGGTAGTGGAGCATAAAAATATGCAAACAGATAAAAACACTTCTGTTTAATAAATTAACATGCAAGAGTAATAGGGCCTGTGGAGCTGCTGTGTACCTACAACAAAAGCTTTCAAATACACTCAATTTTCAGTCCCAAAGTTATCAATGTTCCATACAATTGTAGTGTCCCCTCACTTTTACTGCTGGACATTATTTACATCAAAAATAAAGAATCAGGAAATTGAAGTAACAGTTAATTTTGCTAGCAAATGAATCCCACAGCATTTTAAAATTCCCTAAATATGTACTTAGGCCCTCATTTTACATATTGTCAAACATGTGGGCTTTGGTAGGTCAAAAGGTTGCATCTGCAATTCCCATGAACATCTACAAATCATCCCCATACTAAGGCCCTGCCCTATTCCAGGAGTTTTGGTTGAATTTAGCTGCATAAGGTTGATTTTCTAAACAGAGTCCACACTATCTAGCTCATTCCATTGACTTTAAGGGCAGTTAAAGTCTATTTTGGTACTTCTGCTTTTCACAGAGAGTAATATTAAATTCGACCTTCATGGTAAACTCTATGGTTGTGTAGAACCAACACTCCAAAAGTCAACATTCTTGGCCTCTAGGAGGCATCCCACAGTGCCATACTGTGATCACTTTGGCCAGAACCTGTGATTTTACTGCTCTCCAGGTGAAAAGGAAAGCCCCAGGCAAGTCTGAATTTCATTTCCCGTGTGGACAGCATTATGACCACACCTCAGAACAGGCAGCACACCTGAACAGCACATGTGGCTATGAGTTCAAGTCCCATGAACTCTAGTTCCCAAAACTACCGGCTACACAGTTTTGGTCCCAACGTGCACTGGGAGCATAACCCAGAATGAAAAGTGGTGCAGGCACTGCGGGGTAGCTACCCACAGTTCATCCCTCTCAAAGTTGATGGCAGTCTCCCTACCAGGGACACGCTACTTCAAACTACATTGCAATTTTGTACACAGTGGAGACATGCACCTTTGACTTTACAAAATCGGGTAGTAAGAAATCAACCTTAATAAATTTGACCTTATCTCAGTGTAGACATGGCCTTAAAAAAGCCCTCAAATAAAAACCCATTAGAAAGTTAGAGGAATATAAATGAAAACTTTACTCACATGCCAAGCTCCACCAGGTGGTCCTTTGCCAAGCACTATATGAGGGATATAATGATGCTGTTCTAGCTTCCAGTGCAGGATAGGTGGATAATCATAGCCAAAGTCAGCATCTGGATGAAGCAGTGTATCAAAAAGTACTGCGACTGGATTGGAAGAACGTCCTTCAAGACCTTCAGACAAATACTCTAAATCCTATATTAAGAAGAAAATTTTCCTCATTGATGTAACTGTTTATCATACAGCATAGTTTTAATGTGCAGACAGAATTTCAACTGGAAATCACTACTGAAAGATCAAAGGAAAATGGCAATAATTGGTTACGTTTTAATATTTACTCTAATGATATACCGAAAGAAATTTTAGATATAGCACCTATCACTGTTTCAGTATCTGCATGACTATGAAAACTCTCTCTCTCTCCTCTCCTCTCCTCCTCCCCTCCCACCCAGCATTTGAAGAGAGACATTTAAGAAAGAAAAACAAGGGACATATTTTTAACTTAACTGAAACATATTTTACTAGGAAAATTTTTAAAAGATTTTTTTAAAAGTACATTGATACTTTTAATAAGATAAAGGACTCTTAATAAGGAATGGTTTACGTTCCCAGGAAGAGTCTGACTCGGATAACATAAATTAGGATTGTACTCATTGTTGAATGACTTTCTAGCATAGTGTGGTTATAATTATCCTCTCTGTAGTCATCTGTTGGGCTAGATGACTTCTACGTTAAGAATTCGGCCTCCTGTATAAATAGCTATTCCCAAATTTATTTCAATACTATTTATTCTTTTTCACTAGACTTTGTCAAATAGTTTCTAATTAATTTTAAATGCAGTTATACTTTAACAGCAGACTTTTTATAAAATTTCCTGCAAATATTTATTACTTTTTCAGCATCCACCTAACAGCCATGTCTTCAAAGCTAGAAACATCAGCTCAGCAAGAGACTTTTCAACTAACTGGAAAGAAAAACTAAGACTTTGGATACAATTTTGTTGACAAGGCAAGGAGACATTTTATTCTCCAAAATCAGGACAAAAGCTCTGTGGGTGCAAAGGCACATATACAGCGTTTATTCCTAGCAGCAAAGACAAATTGTTTTCCCCCCAAAAAATCAAACCTAGAATCATTGAAGCCTACAAAGTTGTCACCTGAATGATGTTAAAAACAAATAAGTTACTTCGTAGTTCAAATCTTACTATTTACTTTCCTCTATCCAGATTATTCCATACACACACCCATATTAGATGAAATAATACTCTGTTTAGTGAAATATACACTATACTACATGACTCAGAGCACAGTCACTTCCTAATGGAAATTTAATTTCATTATGATAAACACTGTCAATAAATAAGCAGATGTAAACAGCATTTACATTGAAAGGAATAATTTTATCACATAGCTGAAATTAGCCAAGTAAGGTCAGTATTATTTTTGTGCAAATGAAGATGCTGAATGTTGATTAATGACTTATTAATACATTTTAACTGTGATTGAATAAAAGTTGTGGGATACCCATAGAGTAGCTTTCTTAAATTTCTGAATTAATAATTCACTTATTTAGCACTTTATACATTCAAACTCCTTTACAAGTATGATCTTCATTTGCAGGTGAGATAAATAGAGGAAGGGAGATCAAGTGACTTGCTCAAGGCTACAAAGGCAGCTGCTGGCTCACTAGTATGCTTATATCATGCCTTACACAGGGAATAGTAGTGTAGGCCTTGAGCAATTCTTTGCAGGTTAAGAGCATGTCGATGTCATAATGTATCTTAAATAATGATAAAATATCTTAAGATCATTAAATGAAACAATGTGTTTACTAGTTTGGTTTGTTAAAAGAAAAACAATTGGAAGAGTGAAAACTTACTTGGTCAACAATAGAGAGATGTCTAGCTTCTTCTAATTTACTGTGCAAAATAGGATTTGGATGTACAGCTTCAGGAGACAAATATGGCCTATACCCAGACAGCATGTAAGAAAGGCAAATTCCTGAAGGTCCATTCCCTATTTAAAAAAAAAAAAAAGTTAAAACATTTTAACAAACATTTTAAGAAGTCTTATTACAATAGCTAAGGTACTGTAGCAATGTTCCAAAACATACGATGTATATAGCATACTATTCCTATCCAGAAAAGCCTACAACTAAAATCTTCATATTACAATAAATCCTAGAACTAGAGACCTTTTCAAAAACAGCTCTGCAGAATACTTTTTGGGTGTGAGGAGACTAGCCAGTTAAGAAGAGTAGGAGTACAAACATGATATTAAAGCTAATCTCAAGGTCATTCCCCCCTTCTGCCTGCTTTTAGTGTGGGAGGAATCCCTGATATATCAGTGTAGGTTAATGTAGGATTCATTAAAAAAAACCTCAGTCCCTCAAGTATAATACAATATACAGCTAATGTGGCAATGAAATTTGATAGACAGTGAGTTTCACCTTTTCAAGCTTGTTGATAGTTATAGTATTGACAGGGCAGTAATGTCCTAACAGAATCAGTAGAACAAGTTACAACAGAGTTGTTTGAGAATTGATTATAATATGTGGAAAAATTACAAAGTGGATGGGATTTGAGTGACTCTCTAATCAAGTTAAATATCAGAGCTAGTTACTACATGCCCACATTATTAGGATCTTGATTTGGTTGTCATCTAAATATTAGCATAATACAAGATACACATAGCAATACTATGTTAAAAGAACATAGCCAACCCAGTCATAACTTATGAGAAACCAGAATTAGGTTTCCCTCTGAAATCTTATTTGGTCCCCCATGCATCTGAAATAATATTTAATTATATGACTGAATATTGTTTTTTTCCACGGCATCCTTGCCTCATCTAGTGCATGGAATGGACGGTGCTCATTTAATGAGTAACATTCAATATTTTTTATGCTCATTGTTCAGTATGTGGCCCTAGGCCATCTTTACTGTATACTATTCAAAATTTACTGTGAAGACAGGTTTATTAGTTTCCTTGTGAACCTTTATATGGCTCTCATTATAATATCCAAGTGCTTCATGTTTAGATCCAGTGCACAGACTTCTGCCATTTGAGCTAATGGAGTAACTGACAGCAATAAATTAGTACTGCTGTCCTATAATGAAATAAGCATAGTTCTGGAGACACTCTGAGGTCTTTTTTTTTTACAACAGGAGGGAGTTTGTTAAATGAAGATTAGTTTAATCTTCTGAGTTTAAGTGTTCTGAGTTTCCCCTTTTTTCTTTATTTTTCTTCTACTTAATAAATGCTAAATATTTTTTATTTGGCAAAATACTAGAAAAACCAAGCTTGGGCTACAAAACTGTGAACACAAAACACTGTGGCAGGAAGAACACAAAATTCGTAACTTAAAAGGTACCCTACAAAATCTCTTCAAGCCCCAACAGCACTATTTATCTGAGCAATGACTATCCGCATGAATAAGGGTCTGCAGGGTTAAGTCCT